TTGCAGAGGGATGGCAGGCAGGTACTCAAAGTGCCTTGTTCAGTGGCATTGTGTTAGTGTTGCTCTCTGGCTTTTGAGGCTAAGTTCTGGTGTTAGAAAGAAGCACCAAGGAGCTGTGTAGCAAAATCTGCAGAGAACTCAACAGTTTTTAAAGTATGTGTGTTTTTAGTGAGCTGAGTGGGAGGAAAAGTTGTATTTTTAAGTGGTCTTGCCAGATCTCCCTCAACTACTTAATATAAATAACCATATTGGAAAGAAAGAAGCAGATATATTAAAATTCTTGCTCAGTTTAGTTGATGTTGGTAGCATACATCTAGCAAATCCATAAAGAGTGTTAAGTCCATGCACACGAGAGAGATCATGCATTTTGGACAGAGCATTAAGATGTGGGCTCGGAGCTGAAAAGGGACTTAGTACACCAGAGTGGTACTGAAAGTTAATTTAAACTTGAATTTGGAAAAGGGTTGGACTTGGCTATTCTTTCTACTTTTAGATGGAGAGTGGTACATTCTTTAAGAATAATTATTTAAAACGATCTTGCTGTACTCTTTGATTATCTTAAAGGAGAAAGTACAGAGCATCATAGAGTGTGTGGCTTTTGAGTACCATCGTGCTGATGATGACAGTTTCAGACCCGCAGCCCTTCCTGAGGGCTTGCTTTGAAGGACCTGGTTTTCGATGTGTCTTATGCCTCGGTGTGTCCGCTAACTCAGTGAAATCAAAACAAAGCAAACCAGACTGTGAAATATTTTACATACTTAAGAGTAACTCCTATGCACTTTAAGAGACCCCATAAACAAATGTTTTGTTCTGCCACTTTCCATCTGCTTTCCATCCCCCATCAGCAGTCCTGATCCTGTACCCTTCTGAAGTGACTGCTTAATTTTGATGGAATAATCTAGTTGAAATGAGTAGGTCACTGAATACCAGATTTGTTATTTAAGAAAAAATTAGTCCACACAATTTTTAGGCATTAAAACCCACATCAAATGTTTAAAATTGCTATGTATAAAACTGTGTATGCTGGGACATTTGTCTCGGGAGCTGTAATCTCCTGCCATAAAAGCTGTGTCAACTTATAATTTCTTTTTTAAGCAGATCCTTTAGCCCTTTTCTTGTTATGAATGAGAAGAACCTCAGCTGTTTTATTTATTTACCCATATTACTGCAGGGCTGAGGAAGCTTAGACTCGTGCTGCTGGGAGCAGAGGCCCCCCGCCAGAGCCTAAGGTCCTGGTGTAGCAGGGTCACACTGTAGCAGACCTTCTGCTACAGTGTGACTACCTTAAAGTGGGGAGAGCTGTTGTGCTTTAGCTGTTCACAGCTTCTGGGTGTCACTTGAAGTAGTCAGCAGATGTTGTAGAGCAGTAATGGATCTGAAGAACTGACCAAGGAATTACCGAGTTAAAATGATTTAATTCCTGGCATAACCATTCTGTTGGAAACATAATTCAGCAGAGTATGTGGGCCAGTGCAATATTAAAATGATGCTGTAAATCAATGCTTTGGATTCTTTAAGTAGCGCAAGCTAAATAATTTTCTTTCTAAGTGGAAAGTTTCAATGTTAAAATAAGATAGGAAATGAGATTAAATCAAATTCTTGAGTACATTGAATAATTTGGGTGTTGCCTGCTAAAATTAGTTTGGGTTGCATTTGTTACTTGGGACTTATTAGTTTGCAGCATAGTCAAATAAAGCATGGTGTATTAATTTTTTAACCAAAAACATTTAATATGAACTACTAGGTTACTGAAAAATAAAATGTTGCATGCAAATCTGGGAATTCAAGGCAGCTTCTTGCTATGAGTGAAGTTTAAGCTATGTATAGAATACAAAATTCTACCTGCACAACTTCAGCAATGAATTTGAAAAGGATTGCTCTTAGTTGTAGAAGCAAGAACAGTGAACTTACGAAAACCTGCACATCTTCAGTTTTCCAGCAGTCAAGTCTTTGCGTGTTTCCTGTATGCATATTTATAAGTAAACTGGAGATACCGAGAATACTTAAATGAGAGGAAAGGGAGGAAGTAGCACATGAGGTCCAGGACAAGCCATAACCTTGATGCTAGAGGGGTCATCTGCAGGGCTGGGATTAATAGGTTTCTACAAGCACTAGTTAAGTGGCATGTACCATCTGCTGAAGGTTTTGGGGAGGTTGAATTACAGGGGAATATACAGAGGGAAGGAAGAGCTCCCTAGCATCTGATTAGTGATGGGATCATATTATCTGAAACAGAACAAGAAGAAAATTAACACAAATTTCCTAGTTTCTCACCAGCCAGCTATGAACCTCTTCCTTCTTAAGGTTGTTCTGCTGCTCTTTGGGAAAGCACTGATAGTAGGAACACTGGGGTAATGTATTTACTTGCCTTTCTGGAAGGCCTAGAAACTTCTTAACTGAAAGCATGTTTGTATTTCTCCTTGAGTAGGTTTTGCTTAATTGTGTCTGCCGTGATGCCAGGGTGGCCTGGGCCGCTGGGGTGGCGTGATAGCTCCTCCTGAAGTGTTTGCCCATGCACAGCCGTCTCCCCTTGGCAACTCTGAGTGTCCTGAAGGCAGGTCTGTAAGGAGACCTGGTATGCAGGTTATCGCCTCCTTTGCACTACTGGGTCCCTGGATCTAGATTTGTGCAAACTGATTATTTGTAGTGCCAGGTGTAGCTTAGATCTGAATTCCTATTTCTTCATTCTTCTCCAAGAGTATTGTATGGAAGAAATAATGTGTCCAAGTGTGCATCTCTGGTTCGAGAAATGCACACAGTGAAATCAGAGTTCAAGAAATGGATCTGCTTTGCAGGAACATGCAGGCTGCTTACTCTGCTTGTTGGAACGTTGCTAGCTATTTTTTGTTCTGTGTTGTTTTTTATTCTCTACCTGTTTTGTTGGGTTTTTTTTTTGAGAAAGTAAAGAGCATCAGAATTATCCTTTGCTCTCAGTTGCTAAGCTGACCTGATCTGAAACACGTGATTTTGTAAGTTGAGGGGAGACAAATCTGCTGCAATCCCCAGAGGCATGTGAGCCCCCAACAAAGTCCTGATGCAAGCATTTATTCTTTGACAAGACCGAACCAAAGGTGTCAGCTGCAAAGAATACACAAAAGTTGTGCTGGACAAAGCTTGTCCAAGGTTTAGGGGGAGAATTTCTGGCTAACACTCTTGTTACCAGAAGGGTTAGGTAGTTCTTAATTTTAATACATCGATATGGCCTATAACAATTGGATCCATGCTTTCATTGGGATTTCACTGTTAATTTTGGCTGGCTTAAGCTTTCCATAGCAACAGAGTCCTGGTAGCCTCTGTTTAGCAGCTTGGCCATGCAGACCTCAGTCTCACAGGTTTCTAGAACAGATGAAGTTTCATAGAAGGAAAGACAAGGAAAGCTGTAAGTTTTATTGAAAATTTCTCATGTTTCTTAGGTAGGGATGCAATCCACTTTCTGCGCCTTCTGGGGGAAGGGGTACCACTGTAGGTCTAAACCCTGCAAACTAAGAGTTAAAGGGCATTTGCAAATTTTACCTGCCCCTTCCTTGACTTTCGTTTCAGTGGGAAGCACAAATCTTAGACCAGCATGTCGGCTGGCAGTCTCCCTTTCATTTGTGAACAGTCTTCCTCATGGCCCAGGAGGTCCAGTTGCTTCAGGATAGATCCAGGTGTGCAGTCACGTTGCTCTGCAACCAAAGTGTCCTTAATACATATACAGAAATGGAAGAGGTGCCTGGAAGTGTTAAAACAGTCTTTGGGAAGTTTCCCAGCCACATTGGATTTAATGACAGTGTCCTACTTAGGAAATCTTGCCTCAGCGTTATTATTTCAGTGACTTTTAATAGCAGTTCCTTCATTCCCTTGGCGATATGCAACGTTTCTGTTGTGCATTCTTATTACATTGCCCAGGTTACTATAATATTTAAAATAATAATAATGAAAAAAGTCTTTTCAAAGCGTAGGTCAGATATGAAGTTCTAGCATAATTGTGTAGTGCTTTTTCATCAGAAATTAATTTAATCTTGTACAGAGAGGGAAATGTATTATTTGTGTTGCTCGTGTATATTTCAGTCAGTGGGAAGTGTAATTTGCAGTGTGAAGTTTGGAATTGGCTTATTGGATCTTGCAGTGAATTATTCTTAATCTTTATGCTTCATTGCATTCTCTGCCTCCATTGCCCGCCTTTCCTCCCAAAAACTTTCCACTGATGGTGCTTAAAGCTCTGAGAATTCAGCACTGTGACTTTCATAGTAACCAAAGTTTATTTTAAAAATAGCATGATGAAATTAGTAACTTTGCTGCTATTCTCTTGTCTTTGACATTGTGCAAAACTGTCAATGTCAATAATTTCCATGTAGGCTCCCAGTGTTAGAGGCTGTTCTTAATTAGAATTTGTTTTGTTGTTATGTGATCAACTGAATTGTCTGGAAAATTCCTTAGACTGTTTCAAAATTGCCCTTTTCATACTGATTTTTAACCCTTAGTTTCCTCCTGTTTTCATTTTTCTTGCGTAAATATCTTTTGGCCTCTTGACTCTTGCATTTAATGTTTCCCAATGGCTGCTGATACTAATTTAGCTAGTACTGTGTCCTTTGTTCCCGTGTAAACTGTCCACATACTGACTCAGAAGTTTCACAGCAAAGAGGGGAAAATATCTTGAAGTATTACTAGTATTTTTTTCCACAGAAACTAACAAAAGCTATAGCTGTGTGTACTGTTTTTTTCACTACAGTGTGATATAAAATTTCTTTGGTAGAGAATCTTAATGATACCTGTATATGTCACTGGTAGATATAGACAGATATTGCTGCTAGAGATCACTGGTAGATATATGTATCTTAGTGAGTATATAACTTTCCTTGCAGAGGCAAATTGTATGTGCCATTCTGTTTACCTAGATTGTATTTAATACAGTGACATTTTGAACAATTACCTCTTTTATTAGTTGCTATACATGTAAAAAAGCAAAGCAAACAGATTTTTGCTTTAGACCTTCATATTTGAGAAAGTAATTTCTTCCTGCGAGCAAATTCTCATAAATTATAGGGCTCCGTTCACCGTGAAGAGATAAATATCTTCAATGAACAGTGTAATTGCATCCTTAGTTAATGACTTTTGCAAGAGATGTTGTGTAATGTAAGATGAAATGGAGTAAAACTAGTAACTTTAAAAAGGCCGGATGAAAACTAGCCACACACTGTTTTATTTACTGTCTTAGATTCACGCACAGTGGAAAGTTTCAGTGAAGAAACATAAGAAATCATTTCACTTTCACACAGATACTTGTAGGAGTGGCAGTCTGGTTGTTTACGCATCTAGATTGTGTTGGAACTGTGTTCTGTTTCTTATACTTTCTTTTACTCAGATTACAGATTTGTCACTACCCAACTACCTTATGGCTTCTTCAGTTGGGCTGCTTCCTACTCAGCTTCTGAACTCATACTTGGGCACTACCTTGCGCACCATGGAGGATGTGATTGCAGAACAAAGTGTTAGTGGCTACTTTATATTCAGTTTACAGGTAAGATAAAATCATTGCTGTCATAGACCATGGTAACAGTAATGTCAGCCTCTCTGACTGCTTGGGTGAGCAATTACTCTTGGAAACAGTTATCATCTTGTGTTTGAGTTTATTTCTTTATCCCCCTGGTTTCTTGCTCATCTGCTGTACCAGTGGGATTCAAGACAGGATTTTGCTTCTAGAGACAGTAGGCAAGTTTCCTTCCTGTAGCTTTGTCTCTTCAAGTTGTCGAGTCTTTGCTTTGGAAACTGCATGCCCGAAGGAACATGGGTGAGATGTAGAGAGAATCCATCATTGCTGATTTCCCTTTCAGACTGCACAGCCTCCAGTGTAAAAGGGGTTGGCTGCAGGAAGTTTGGGGGGATGCAAGACTCGGGGCTTAAGAGCTGCTCTCTGTTGGTGTAACAGCTCCCTAGTCTGAGGCAGCTGACCTCGTACAGACTGAGCGACAAGCAAGTGTGGCATGTGGTGTTGAAAAGTAACAAGTGTTAGAAAGTGTCTAATTTATAAGTCTGCTATTGATATTTTCAGTAGATTGTGTAAAACTGAGATGACGTTTCTTTCTCACAGGCTTACTGGCTGCTAGGTACCCAGAGAAATGGGTTTCCAATGTACTGTTTTCTTTTGATTTTGCTCTCTTCTGTTAGAAAAGTTTAATTCTTTCATACATCACATGACACAAAGCAAAACTTACTTAGTGTTCTCTTTTTCTGCTACAGTTTTGTCAAGTTTTCTTCTCTTGCCTACTTTGGTAATTTCTTGCTGATCTGCAGACTTGTCAAACCACCCCTACACACAAGCCCATGTGCCACCAGCTGTGAAGTAGTGTGTTCAGGGTGCTTAGACCCAGCACCTGTGCAGGGTTCACTATTGGCATTGAACTCTCCTGATTTTGCATAGGTTTTTAGGATGAAAAGTGCTGTAGAAATGCCATTTTGCTAATGCGTAAATCGGAATATCCTAATTTTGCAAGTGAGTAAATTCGTGAGAAGTATACAGCACCTTTACATGAGCTTAGCTGATGAAATGATTTGTCAGTAAATCTTGAGGGTAAGCCTCAAGTCTGAGACCATTGTGAGCATAGAGATCATGAGTATTTCAGAACCAGATTATTTATTAAAAGCTGCTCTGACAGCATTGGCGCTTCAGGCTGTGTTTGACCAGCCATTACCATGGTTTGCAGACTTAGTTGGTACTACAGTCATTTATCTTCCTCAGTTTTTACAGTCATAAAGGTGATGTTTAACAATGCTAAGATACAAAACTAAGTCTAGGACCATTTTGAAAAAACACACACCACCCTAACTTGTGTGTTTTTTAAAAGAAAGTATTATGTATAGACTTCATAGAACAGGTTTATTAAAAATTTATTGAATTTTAGTATTAAAGTTAAGTATTAAGATTAAATATTATTAAATTTGTATTTAAAAAGCCTTTGTAAATGTGGGGTAAGTAACATCAATGGATCAAAGAAAATAAATGGTTACTTGATCAGCTTTCATTTTAGTTTTTTAAATGACATTGCCTTTTTTTTTTTTAAATGACATTGGCTTTCCTTTGTGGATTACATATAAGTTATAGCATAACTGTCACTCAGGTAAGCGCTAGCTGGAAAGGCTGAATGTTTGAATAGGAGTGCTCACCTTGAGAGCGATCCTTGGGCTGTGGCTAAGTCAAGGGGAGCCTGTTAGTGGAGGAATTACTTATGTTCTCCCATTTTCTCTCAGGCATCTGCCTGGTGCTTTGCTTTTGATAGGACTTTGATTTAGTAAATAGCTCTAAAAATCTTTCACGTTTCATGGTTGTCTGTGTGTGTATATATATATATATTTTAATTATTCATCTAGTGACTAGGCTACTGATAGTAATATTTCTAAAACCAGTCAAATTTAAATACTTGAGTACGCTTTTAGAATAGGATTTTTGCTATGTATTCAGAACTTGTTGTCCATAGTCTCTTTTTTTACTCTTATATTGGCCAGTTTTTGAAATGGATAACATGAATTTGTGAGGAAAATCTTTTCCATCACAAGGATAGTCAAGCAGTGGAGCACGTTGCCCAGAGAGGTGGTGAAATCTCCATCCTTGGTTAAGACCTGACTGGACAAAAGTCCTGAGCAACCTGGTCTGATCTTGCAGCCAGCCGTGCTCTGAGCAGCAGGTTGGGCTAGAGACCAGCGTGGATGCCTTCCAGCTGCAATTACCCCATGGCCATAGTTGTCAATCATCTTAATCGGTGATATTCTAGCATCTTTTATGCCATGCTGACAGGTGTTTTGAGTGATTGTCCTTAATGTTAAAGAAAACATAGCCCTACCAATTACTAATGAAGTTCAGCTTTTGGACTCAAAACTTTATATTGCTTACAACAGAATCTAACCTTTTGAAAGGAAGTTGCAGAGTCCAGCTAGTTTCATGAAACATTCTTAAAAAAGGCAGAGGAATTTACTTCTCTCAAAGGGACTGTCACTATGAGACAGCTTGATTTTTTTATTGGAAGATTTTATGTATTTTTTAAGGGGGATCTGAGCTGAAAATGTAACTGGTGTTTTATGGAAACCAAAGGCCACCTCTGGGGACTGCTGTGCATGCCAGTGTCATTGAATGAGTAATTTCTAAGCAAAAATTGTCCAGATTTATTCCTGATAATTTTTGTGGTGAAAGTTTAGAAATTCTTAGCAATAAAATTTAGAGCAAAAACCTGAACTAAACCCTGAGTTTTGAATGATATTTCCTCCTTAAAACAAACAAATGAAAAAAACCCCACACCACCAATTTCCTGTCCCCTCTCTGAGCCATCCTCCAGAAACCGAGTTCTTCCCATACAGACTACTGTAAGTCGCTCAGAAACTCTGGTTCTGTCCTGTTTAGTCCTGATATCTGAGAAGCCCAGTGATGCTGCTGCTCTCTTGTATCTTCCACACCAGAGGAGCAAGGACAAGGAAGTTTTCTTTCCTTTCTGTGTCATCCCCTGTTTCTGCTGTTTTGCAAGTTGCAGATGCCCAGTACAGTTTTGACCAATTATTCCATTGGTACATGGAAAACAGCCCTTTTGACTTACAGAAATAGACCACATCGTTTCTTTGCTGAAACGTTTTTGCCAAGAGAGGAAGTGAAGGGATTGCTTTCTCACAAGTATGTGAACGTCAATGGAAAAAAAGAAATCTCCTTTCAATTCATATCAATATTTAAGTTCTATGTAATGTCTATGTTCCAATACGCTAGTTGTGTTGTTAGCATATATAGGTTTAGAGCCACGCGTTGGTTAAGTTTATCTCCTTTCTGATGTCTTGACTGTGAAGCATTGAGTCCACAGATGCATCCATGAATCTTTGTCGGTGACTTTCTGTTTTGTTCGAAACAGTTGCTTTGTATTCAAGCTTACAGTTTATATAGCCTACAACAGTCTTTTGTTTTATTTGCAGATTGTCATAAGCATAGGACTAATGTTTTATGTCGTTCACCGAGCTCAAGTGGAACTGAATGCAGCTATTGTAGCATGTGAAATGGAAATGAAGACATCGCTTGTTAAAGACAGTCAACCAAGCATCAGTGGTTCAACCACATACTGCAACAAAAGGACAGTAGCATTCTCTGGAGGAGGCGTCAATATTGTGTGATTTCAAGTATTAATAAAGTAAGGTTTTGTGAACCTAAGCTATTGCCTAGAAATATCTATGGACAATTCAACTAGTTTTAAAAAAAATTAACAAGTGGTTACAGGTTGTACTGTGGCACAAACCAACCGACCAGCTCTTCAGTTGCACAGGGGGTGACTTCTAGCAAGAAAAGAAAAATGGCGAAGTAACTTAAGATGTAAATGCAAATTTAGCTGCACCTTTGGTCATTTATTATGCCTGTCATGGCCTGTAGTCTGCACTTTAGTTTTTTTTCCTTTGCTCCCATAAACTGAGAAATGCTTCTATAAACTGAGAAAAGTAGCACAGAGGTAAATATTTTTCTGCTTATCATTATTTATAAGGCTGAATAATTATATGCAGTAGAAGTTTATTACTGATAAAGATGAATGAGGAAGTATGAAATTCAATGTATGTTATTCTTGAATGTGCTTTTGCTTTGGAATTGCTTCCAGAACTTGGAGTGAATTATTTAGCTAATGATGGGATTTGGCTTTTCCTTCATTTTTGATTTAAAAAAACAAACAAAAAAAAAGAGAACCCTGGAGAAATTTTTCGTTGAATGTATTTTTCTAAGTCATTAAAAATGTTGCAGAGCCATGCATATGTATTGACGCAAGCTTAAATCCTACATTGTGGGACTGAAGTGCTCTTAAATAACATTTTAAGTTACACTGTGTAATATGCAAAGTAAAAGGGAAAATACAGAAGTTATAATAGATTGCAGTGACTATTTCGGAGACTTCATGACTTAATTGTTGCATTGTTTTTGCCACCTTGGTGATTGTAACAAAGGGCTGTTCCATGTTAGTCCTATTTTAATTGTTGAAAGGATGGAGTTTTTCAGCTGACATGACTGCATGTAGTAAGGCTTCCAGAACAGGGAGCTAAATCTCTCCTTTAAACAAAATGATGGGATACTGGCAGTACCAGGTTTACATGAAGGTGGCCTTTATTTTGTAAGTGAATCTTCCCTCCCTTTAAAAAGCTTTAAAAATTCACTTTGGTTGGCATATTTTTTTCTAAAAGATGCAATCTATTATAAATTTCATCAGAGTGAAGATATGAAAACTAGAGGTTCTCCTTGGAAAAATAATAATCCAGTAATGGAGGAGGACAGTAATGTCTCTGAGACTCAGGAATTCTGACTTCATTTTTGCAAGACAACACTGTATTGGATAATTCTCCTTTTATGCCTGGTCTGGACTGTTTTTCACTGCGTTTGGATAGGCTGGATAACTCAATAGTAACTTGTGTGTGTGTGTAAAAGGAAAACAACGGTATTGCCTGAACATGATGTCTTGTAGATGTGAGTTTCATGTAGATACACGTACCAATGTTCAATTGCTCAAACACATGCAAGTCATCCGATCCAAAAATAATGTAATATATTACTTATTTTGTAGTTCTTTTATCTAAGTTTTTAAGAATGCTTTCAGTCTTCAAAATTTTGTTATTTTCTAATAGTATGACCGTGCCTCCTTTTTGTAAGGCTGTTTGTTGGGTTAAAGCATTTTTGTCTTGTTGAGAATAGCAGGTCTTCAAGGTCAATGGGAAGCAGGGATTCGATAGCCTCTGCCAGTCTTACTGTGAGGATGTATGGTACTTGCGTGATTTGACATCTACACGTTCCTTGGTAGTGGAATTTCAATTTTGTTCTTTAAATATGTATCATTGCAGACTGCTGTTCTTGGGTCTTGTGACCTAAGGAACAGAACTAGTTAAATGAAAAACAAAGATCAGATTGTCTGCTTTTTGTTGTTTTGGGGTTTGGTATTTTTTTATGTTTGGTTGGTTTGTTTTTGAAAAGGCAATCTATATATACCTGGAAGTGTTTATTTACACATCTCTGCCTCTGACAGCTCCTGTGTGAAAATAAGAGAGCCAGATAACTTTTTGATGGCGTTATTTGTCATCATAGTATAATTGAGCCCTTTCTTAACTAAAGGTTTTTTATTTTTTTTCATTTCTTGGAAAGAACAATCCTTCAATAAATGAACTGATCTGAACTTTGGTTCATCTTGCCAAATTTACAGTAGTGTTTTGAAGAGAGTATTTCTTTCTTTTCATTTTTTAAACTAACTTAAGGTTGTGTTGATTATTCGAGAACATTTCCCAAATATGTATTTTGAAGTGCTTTTATTTCCATGACATTTTGTAACCACAGTAACTTCACTACGTGAACACTTTTGTAGTATGGAATTAGTTCTTAAGATTTTTGCATTTTGCTTGATACTTGTAATATTTGTGTACAAGTTAATGGGAAATGTGCATTAAAAGGAACTTTTCTGTACCATGCCAATCATAATTTTATACAATAAATTAAATTTCTTTAAAGGAATATGTATTAAATATTTAGGTTGCTATAAGTAGGTGGAAAGAAGGTACAGTGGAGTGTTGTCTTTATGTATGCATGCGAAGATAGGGTCTATGTTAAAGGAGTAACAAGTTAGGATTTAAGGATGCGTTCCGTGGGTGGGGAGTTACTGACATGGGAAATACACTTGGTTTTTATTTTTATTAAAATTAAATACATGCTTAATTCTGTTAAATACTTTGAAGCTTAGGTATTTGTAGCTGCCTTTTTGATAGAAGAATAAGCATATGTGTGCTTATGAGAAATATGCTACTGAACCAAAAGAGGATTGCTATTTTTGAACTGAAAAGTGATGTGATTTTTTTTTTTTAGTTAGTCTCCCTACCTAGTGCAATTAAAAAATAAAAGGGTATGAATCCAGTTTAAATAATATGTGGCAAATTGCCTTCATTAATATTCTCTGAGTTGCCATGATGGTGAAATTTCTGCATTTTGTGTATGAAACGTACATAAATTACAGGTCATATAGAAGAAGGAGTCCCTCTCTGGCTGTGTGGCACCAGTTTTCCTTCTTCCTCCTTGTGGTAAGTGCAACTGTGTAATAAATTTGTCAAAATTTAACTTTGTATTAAGCACCTGTGAGGAGATCCCTTTTTTGTCCAAGAGCTTTTTATGCTGTTTTCATACAGATTTTTGCACAATAACTTCAACAAGCATTGCAAAGATCAAGTTTGAAGAGTGGAAAACCTGCTCTTACTGTGGCTAGTGTCATGTAGCAGATCTTTTGCATTCGTTTTCAGCTTTCCACCCAAGGCTGGTATGATTTGGGTTTTGACTGACCAAGATTACTGGAGTTGTCAGTGGCCTTGCAAATAATTTAGGATACGATGCTTAAGATGAAATATTGTAAATGTGTTCCCATCGGTCATTCCTGACAGAAGCAAATAGCTTGAGTAGCTGTGTGACAGGCTTCCTCACTGTAATAAACTCAAAGTTGTTATCAATCTCATCTGCATAAGAAGATGAGGTTTTGGGAATGAAGGAATAAAAAATGGAGTGCAGAGGAGAAGCTGATGCAAATTCTGCCTCTGCTGGAGAAAATGGCTTGTCCCTGTCCTCTGCAGCCCCACAGAGTTACAGTGATGTGCGTGGCAGCACAGGGATGATGGGTCTAAGACACCCTCTTCATGTATGTTAGCGTTTACCTCGCACTATCCTGCTGTATTTTTTTTTTTAATTTATATTAATTTGTTAGTGATAAGTAGCAAGAAATAACGGAGTCTGCAGTTTCAATCCTGTCCCTTTCCTCCTTTAACAGATTATTCTGTTGTGTTGTTAAACTTAAAACTACATTTTACTGAATTCTTGTGTTCATTAATGTAGGTTAAGTCTCCTTGCTAACCAAATCACTAATCTGTAGTTGGTTGGATCTGTATTCTCAATTCATTTGGATAATTAGCTGGGCAGGATTTGCTGTTATGAGTACGCAGAGTCATCTTAACTTTCCTTCTAATTATGCAGAACTTTATATTGTGAAAGAAGTTAGCAGAATTGATTAATTATACAGAGGTTTTTCTTTTGTTTTGTTTTAGGAAAAAGGTTTACTAGCAAGATAGAAGAAGGGTTTGTTCTGTCCAGATCCTGAGATTTGATTACTGGGTATCATCCTTTTGGAGATGAGTATGTTGCCAAGATGTAGCCCGTGTAGGCTTAGGCGTGTCAAGGTAATTAGCTGCCCATTTTGGTGAGGAGTTTGTAAAAGCTGTATCTTCAGGTCAGGATGACAAGTCTTATTTTATCGTCGTAAGATCTACAGATCAGCACAGTTTCTCATTGGTGGCTGCAGTGAGTTACTTCCCCACCCCCTTCTCATGTGCAGGAGGGAAAATCTAGAGAGCTACAAGTCTTCCAGGCTGAAGGGGGAGAAATAATAGTCTGAGCACAGTGGACAGTTTGAGGAGGTTAAATTAACCATAACATTGCCAGAACTGTGCATACGTGCAAGTGTGGTGTTTGCTTAACCGCTGAATCACTTGACAGCTTCTGCTGTTTTGCACGGGAGGGCAGCTGGGTGGCCTCACCTAGAGGTAGGTCAGCATTTTCTTTTCTGGAGAATTTTAGCATGCTTTGACTTTCAGACCTCTTAACTTCTGAAATAGTCTTTTGACAAATTTAACTGAGATTTCTTTAATTAGAATGGTTTAGTTTGTCCCCGTAACAGGGCAAGGTCAGCCGGGGTGCAAGCATGCACGTACCAAGTGGTGTTTATGCATATACACCTGGCTCAGGAAGGAACTTCTGTAGGGCAATGTGCATGAGCGTGATTTGCTGAATGTGAGGTGTTTCCCTCTGTTCCTAGTGAGATATAACTTTCCCTTAAGGGTTGTGGGTGGAAGGAAGGAAGGAAGGAAAGGCCTGTGGTGATGGACTGTTCTAATAGCAAATTTTCACTCTCTGCCTTAGAAACTTGATTGCTTAAAATCAAAAACATTCTCCATTTAATGTGAGAAATGGTAGGTGGTGAGGGAGTAGACTAATGAATTCTCTGACTGATTTTTGTGAGGGAGTAACAATTTGCTTCAGCATGGGATGAAGCACCCAGATGGTAGAGGGGTGGGTTTTTTGTCAGAATTCTTTGTGTGTGGGGGCTACTATTGGAAGCAAATAACGCTGAAATGGCAATGATTAGTTACTGCTGATTC